TACTGAAACATACCACAACTTGGGTGGATCTCAAGGGCAGTATATTTAATGAAAAAAGTCAATCTTAAAAGGTCATATGCTGTGTAACTCCATGTATATAACATTCTTGAAAGGACAAAAGTATAGAGATGCAGATTAGATTAGTAATTGCTGGCGGTTATGAATGGTGATGAAAAGAAGGTGGTATGGCTGTAAGGGGGTAGCACAAGGAGATATTTGGGATAACATCGTTTTGAATCTTGACTGTGGCGGTGGTTAAATGAATTTTCACATGTGACAGAAAATGACAATGAACTGTATACACATTGTACCAATGCCAAATTTCCTGGTTTAGATACTATACTATAGTTTTGTAAATATATAACCATTGGAGAAAGCTGGGTGAAGGGTACTGGGACCTCTCTGTGCCTTTTTTGCAACTTCTTGTGAATCCATAATTATTTCAAAATATGGAATTGAAAACAGAGAGATTTGTTGAAAATATGCAGTGATCATACCATTCTCCCATTTGAAGTCCTTCAGTATTGACTGACTGCCTTGAGAATAAGATTCAGTTCCCTAGCACAGCAGAGTAGGTGGCAGTCCTCTGGCCCACTCTTGGGCAACAACAAACCACCTGGGATCAGCAGATACACCCAGCTACTGCACACTTTCAGGCCTCTGCCTAAGCTGTTCCATCTGCTTGAAATGACTTCCCTCTCCTTTTTGTTCTGCTGGTCAACCTTCATCCTCCTTCAAAATCTAGTTCAAGCACCTGCTTCTCTTACATGTTTCCCCCTACAGCCTTTCCCTTCACACCGTGCAGGGCATGCCCCCATTTTTGCCACTTTCCCTGCATTCTTTTTAGATTGCATTGCAAGTCTACTTACGCTTCTACTCTGTAAGGACAGAAAATGTGCCCGATTTATGTCTCAATCCTCTACTGATTACACAGTGGGTGCCCAGTAAATGTTTGTTAAAGACAAAGCTAAATGGGAGAATACATGTGGTGGGGCAGCTGGGAGCAGTGGTTAAGATCAGGACATTGAATCCGACTCCCAGTGGGTCTGCTACTTATCTGGGTGATGTGGGGCAAGTGATTGCATTCATCTGTAAAATGGATAGGCAGGGAACCTGAGGGTACCCCTAGATAAGAAGTGCACAGCCCACTTAGGAAGGCATCTTGATGCTAGAATGCACCCTAAATCTGACCAAGCCTTGTCTAGATCCAATTATTTTCAGGAAATACAGAGGAAACACATTAAATTACACTGCAGAGATGCAATCAGTCAAATTCCAACTACAGAAATGCTATTGAACAACTCAATTGTGTCAACAAATAAACTACCAAGAAAACAAAGAAATAGATCTACGGATTAAGAGAAATTTAAAAGATGTATCAACCGATCAACAATGTATGGGCCATATCTAGCTCTACCTTCAAACGATTAATGAGACTTAAAATTCATAGGGCAACTGGAAATTTGAATACTTACTGGTTATTTGATGATATTAAGGAATTATTACTTTTCCAGCTTTAAAAGAGTCAGTACCTTTAGAGACCTACCCAAGTGCAAGGTATAACTACTGTATACCTACTGAGCACCCTAAGGTTGTGCCCATCTGTTTTACAGATGAGTGCAATCACTTGTTCCACATCACCCAGATAAGTAGCAGACCCACTGGGAGTCAGACTCAAAGTCCCGATCTTAACCACTGCTCCCAGCTGCCCTACCACATTTATTCTCCCATTTAGCTTTGTCTTTAATAAACATTTACTGGGCACCCACTGTGTAATCAGTAGAGGATTGAGACATAAATCGGGCACATTTTCTGTCCTTACAGAGTAGAAGCGTAAGTAAACATTTCCTGGGTACCCACTGTGTAATTAATACACTGAAAAATTAATGAATGAAATGACATGATATTTAGGGTTTGCTTGACAATAATTATGGGTGGTAGGTGTGCAAATGGATAAAATTAGAGATGAAACAAGATTGGACAGGAGTTAAAAACTGTTAAAACAGGACAATATTCTGTTTATTTTGTATATGTTTGAAAGTTCCCCTAATAAAACAGTTAAAATAAAAAGAATGTTTAAACTAGTTCATATGATCAAGTACAAAGTATCAGGAATTAATTATTCTAAAGGCAAATTATGTAAAAATGGCACCTTCCTAACCAAGTGTGAGGTACAACTACTATATGTATTTAGACCAAAAATAGTTGCCCTACCAGCAAATCAATAGTCTTAAGAAGAAAAAAATCTGGTCTCTGTTTTATCTTATGTCTCACAAAAACAACTGGTTTACTCACTATTAACTGATTTGTCTGGTCCTTTATTAAGAAAAAAGGACCAGACAAATCAGTTTAGTGAGTAAACCAATTAAAGAAAATTAAGAAGATTTTATTTTAAACAGACACATTCAAGTATTCCCTCTAATATTTATTTAGGGGACCAAATAAACATATTTCAATCTGTGAACAAATTAAAGTCCTGGCACCCTGAAAATTAAATTACCAGGAAAATCAAAGCTTTCCAGAGAAGACTATGCAAAAATAATAATATTTTTAACTCTGCAGGATCCATTTTAAGGAAAAAAGTTAACTGGAAGAAAACATTAAATAGACTGGTTGTCATTTTTCCACAAAAAGATAAAAGCCAGAAGAGAATACTCTGAGCTGAGAGACCCAGGAAAGAATGCTTATCTGGGGAGCGACCTGGGTTCTAATTCCACTCACCAGCTGCTTGCTTAGAAGCAGACTACTGAAACTCCTAAGCTTCCATTTCCACAGGGCTCCAGTAACAATGAAATAAGTACCTGGGCTGGTACCTGAGCAAACAGGACCTGGCTCCCCTGGCCTTAGGCTACCTTTCCTGCTGCTCACAGTTCCTCCCTCCCACACAGCCAGTCATGGAGGAGGACAATCCTGCAAACAAACTGAATGAATCTGTATTTGGCTTGACTCACAGCGTTTTTTTAAAAAAATTAATTAGCTATTGCCAACATTTAAAATGAGAACAAATATCAAGTGCTGCCTTCTTTTTTAGAGACAGGGTCTTGCTCTGTCACCCAGGCTGGAGCACAGTGGTGTGGTCATAGCTCACTGCAGGCCCAAAATCCTGGGCTTATGGGATCCTTCCACCTCAGCCATCCAAGTAGCTAGGACCACAGGTGCATGCCATCACACCTAGCTAATTTTTAGAAAAATTTTTTGTAGAGTCAGAGATCTCGCTATGTTGCCCAGGCTGATCTTGAACTCACGGCATCAAGTGACCCTCCCACGTCAGCCTCCCAAAGTGTCTGGGATTACAGGCATGAGCCATGGCACCCAGCCAAATTCCACCTTCTTCTAGAAAACTGCTGGATAATGTTCCGGTTCTCTGGGGTCCCCATGACTCTGTGCCCTTACACCTGGCCCTGCAGACTGATTCTCAGCTCCACAGTGGGCTACAGTCCTACCTTGGCCATGCTCTTTCACATCTCTGTGCCTCTCCCTGCCTAGCAAATTTCTCATCACCCTCAAGCACCCCCCCTACCACCTGTCATCTCTTCCACATTTCCATGGCATAGCCCCTGAACTATAGCAAGTGATGTACAGTCCTGGAACTAAGTGTCTGCATGCCTGCCTTCTCTACTGGGCTCCCAGGCTCTCTTGGGAATGGGACCATGTTGCTATCTGCCTTGTGTCCCTAGGGCCTGGCAGAAAGCATGACCTAGATAATGCAGAATTCAGTAAATGTCTACTGTATGTGTAGAAGAAAGCTAGAGCTAAACTATTATAAAATGTGTGATTTTTCACCACAGCTTGTTCCAACAGTTAGCAATTAAAGGGGTCAAGGACACCAAAATGTTTCACAAAATAGAACAAGCTTCCATCTGCTTACAAGTTTCACAAGTTAATCAAAAGTCACTAAATGAACAGATAAAGCAGAGACAACAGGGACGCTGGGCCACTTCTTTGACCATTCATTCATTCATTGAGCTGATACTACTGAATACTTACTGTGTGCTTTCTAAGCACTGGGTATAAAGCAGTGGATAAATCAGACAGCTATCTGTTTTCACAAAGTTACATCCTAGTGGGGGAGACAGAAAATAGACAGGCAAATAAATAGAATAGTTTCAAACCAGGTGAAAGCCAGGAATGAAAATTTTAAAATAATGAAATAGCATGACTAAGGGAAGAAAGAGGGTGGTCGAGGAGGGCCTCACCCAAAACAAGACATGTCACCAGAGGAAGAAGCAGAAAGCGCTACTTGTGCCAAGATCACTAAGAGAACTCCGAAGATGGCGAAACAGCGAATGCGAATGTCCTGGGGCAAATGTGGGCTGGCATGTTCAAGGCGAGCGAGATGAGTGGGATGCGGCTGGTCTTCTGGGGTAGGGGTGTGGTGGTAGGGGATGTGGGCTGGGTCCCCTCTGGCACTGCTGGACACTGAGTGTGCAATGACAAGGCAAGGGAGAAGTGCGCGGGAGGCCGGAGGCTGGAAGGATGGGGAGGGGGGTTCCTACCCCACTCACACAAGCAAGGGCCAGCACCCCGCCCAATCTTCCACAAATGTACACCGGGGCCCTGCCCAGGCGTTTGCATACAGTCACAGAGCCTGACAACAACCGTGTCCAGAAGAGACATTTCCCCACCTTCCCGAAGGAAAAACCGCGGCAGAGGGAGGGCCAGTGCCTTAGCCAAGGTCGAGCGGTCGCGACCCCGAGCCCCTGGGCACCCGACGCAGAGAGCAGCTGCTAACCCCACCACCGGGAGGGATGGCGCCCGCAGACCCCACGGGCAGGTTGGCCGGGCCAGGCCGGGGAGCAGGCCCGCAACCCAGGGCTGTTGACAGTAGGGCAGGAGGCGGCGACCGCGGCATCCCCGAGCACAGGGGCGACGGCCGCGGCTGCCAGGGCCCCGCAGCTCCAGGCCTGCCCCAAGCCCCGGCCGCGCGGCTCCCCGCCGCCCCTCCCAGAGGGCCCGGTCTGAGTAGCAACTGCCAGGCCTAGCCCGCCCGCCAGGCTCACCTCGCCTCCCCGCCGCCGCACCACGGGGAGAGCGCGGGCGGGCGGACTGGCGGCGCTGCGGGCGGGTCACTACAGGCTCCACGGCTCCGGCTCCGCCGCCGCCGCCCCGCCCCGCTCCGCCCCGCCGCCGCCGCCGCCGCCGCAGTAGGTGTGAGGGGCGCCGGGGCGCTGCGACCCTTCCGGTCCCGCTCCCGTCTCCTCAGCGGCCGCCGCCGCGGCGCCTGGTCTGACCGACCCTCGGGCCGACCAATCAGCGCGCGGAGAACGGAGCCGATGCGGCCAATGGCGCCCGGGGGGCGGGCCGCTGGAGGGCGGCGTGGGCGGAGCCGGGGGCTGGGGCCGGGGGCCAGACGCCAGACTAGAAGTCGCGGTCTGCGGTTCCGTGGGTTCGGCGTCCACCGGCCTCTCAGCTGACCGGCCACGGTGCTCCTGTGCGCGCCGAGCACGCGGTGAACTGTAGACGCAGGCACTGCGCGGCCCACCCGCTGAACCCTCGCTGTCTGGGTGAGGGAGCCGCGGCTCGGTGGAGGAGAAGGTGGTCCAGAGGACCGGGAATCAGGGTGGAGGCGCGCGGGGTTCACGCTGCGGGGTCCGCGGGGAGCCGGGCCTCGGGCTGCACGTGCAGGCTCGCGGCGGCGAGGCGGCCTGGAGTGGCCCAGGAGCCCGCCCGCTTCTGGGAGAGCCCCGGGCGAGCGCTGGGGGAAGCAGGCCTGGCGTCCGGGAAGCGGGGCGGGCCTCGGACTCGGCTGCTTGCTGCAGCGCGGCAGGGGTGTGGGTGAGGCTAGAAGTCGGGTTGTAGAGGGGGAGGGGGTGCGAAGAGATGGCAGTAGACTGGTGACCCGGTGGGTCGGTGACGCAGGAGGAGAGTGCGCTTGGTGGTGGGGTGACTTAGTTGACAACATTTAAAAAGTGGGAGGTGCTCAGTCAAGCCTCTGAGAAGAGTAGGGGGCAGGGCGAGAAGTGTCTTACTCAGGGCCCCCTAGGGGCTGGGACCCTTTGACTCAGCTGCTTTTGAGGCCACATCAGGTACCAGCGGCCTGGGGCCGTACAGGATGGGAGAGGCCAAGGCTTGGAATGTTGCCAGATCTGCGCTGAAAAGTAAAGCAGGAAGCGAGGCACGGAGACTGGGCACATGGGGAAAACCGCGGAGAGCCGGACTTTGGGGACTGGAAGATAGGGACAGTGGTTGACAAATGGTGAGTGTGGGGGTAGAACAGCAGTCACACAATACCAGGATCCACGGAGTGGCCAGGACCAGCGTGGGGAGAAGGAACAAGACCCTGCAGATGGGGAGGGCCAGGGGCTGGGTGGCGTGAAAGGTGGTTGCAGAATTTTGGGAGGACAGCAAGCCTGTAACCCAGGTTCCAAGGGCACTGAGGGCTGGGCCAGGCCGCCTGGAGGCAGAGGGGTAGAGGAAGGGATCCAGCGTGGTGTCGCACCCCTAGCCACCAGAGGGAGTTTTCTAAATTTGAGCATGGCTCATTGCTGCTTGAAATTCTAGCTCTCGGTGTGGCCTGCATTGAGGAGGGCCCACATCTGTCCTTATCTCAGACCCACCTGCTACCTGCCCCAGGTGCATGAGAGAAAAGAGGAAACCAGAAATTGCCAGGATCAAGGATTATGGGAAAAGAGTAAAAACCTAGCTGTCAGAGCTGAGGTTTTACCAAGGAGCTCTCATGGGTACTTCTCATTAGGAAGGCGGCTGAGTGCAGTTGCTCATGCCTGTAATCCTAGCACTTTGGGAGGCCTAGGTGGGTGGATCACCTGATGTCAAGAGGTCAAGGTCAGCCTGGCCAGCATGGTGAAACCTTGTCTACTAAAAATACAAAAATTAGCTGAAGTGGTGGTGAGTGCCTGTAATCCCAGCTATTCGGGAGGCTGAGGCAGGAGAATCACTTGAACCCTGGAGATGGTGGTTGCAGTGAACCGAGATTGCTCCACTGCACTCCAGCCTGAGCAACAAAGCAAAAACTGTCTAAAAAAAAAACCGACAAAAAAACAGGGAACACCAATTCCCAGCACTCCAGGCCTTGCCTCATAGCATTCATGTCATGCACAGTGAGTAACCAAAAATCAGTGTACACATGTACACACCTATGCATATCTCACACTAAGTTTTCTGTAAGGATTCTTTTCATTGCAGAGGGGGGCTTTAGAACAGCATCAAGCATCCTAGTTGAAACCTCCAAGTGAAAAGATCCTGCCACAGCATGCATTAACCAGGTGGGACATATAAATACATCTCGTCTGATCTGTCTTATGGTGGGGAGAAGCAATTGAGAAAGGCTTCCTGGGCAGAGGAAACTTGCTGAGGCTGCCAAGCGGGATGTGTTGGGCCTGTGACTTAGGCATAAAGGGCACTCGGGCCCAAATGTTCAGATGTGAGGACCTGCTTGCTGTGTTCAGGGAGCCAAAAATCACCTGGTCTTACTGAGGGAAAGGTTAGGGGCCTGGAGAGTTCTGAGGACCTTGAGGTAGATTGTATTGCCAACAGGTGGCATGTAGGCTGGTGTTAGCTCACTGATATGCCTTGTTTAGCCCAGAGAGGTTTTCTTTTTTTAATTGACTTAGTTGATTTAAAAAACATTTAAAAATTAGGAGGTGCTATTTTGAATTTATTCTCTGTGAAACTCATGTTCATACTCAGTCTTCAATGGGGGAGTACTGAGAGGTAGGGCCTCTAAAGGTGGTTGGGATCAATCTGTTGATGGATTCATGGATTAAAGGGTTATCACTGGGTGGGTCTGGTGGCTTTATTAGAAGAGGAAAGGAGACCTGAGCCGGCATGTGAGCACGCTCAGCCCCCTCGCCATGTGACACCTGCACTGCCCTTAGGACTCTACGGAGTCCACACCGGCAAGAAGGCCCTCACCAGATGCACCCTCTCAACCTTGGACTTCTCAGCCCCCAGGGCTATAAGAAATTTCATTTTTAAAGTAAATTACCCAGTTTCATGTATTCTGTTATAAGCAACAGAAACAAACTAAGACAAGAGCACAGGGAGGGTGGAGGAGTCTGGGGTATCGGGGGCCTGTCCGAAGGCCAGCTGTGTGTGCAGCCACAGTTCCAATAGGTTTCTGTGGTCCTGATATGCCCCATCCTTGACTGGCCTGGGTTCCAATCCAACTCATTTGTCAGCTATGTTCCTCTGGGCAAGGGATTCACTTCTGCCTGCCTTGGTTCTGTGGGAAGTGGCATGGAGAAGAAAGGAAGTAGGAAGAGCTGGGTGCAGACCATGCAGCAGGGATGGTGTAGGTCCTTACGCTGACTGCCTCTGACACCTTGCCTGCCCTTCCCCTACTCCATTAACCCACAACTTCCTTTCTCCCCAACCCCTACAAGGACCCAGAGATGTGCTGAGGGGTGTAAGTCAGGGCGGTTCCAGCTGTGTATTGCAGAAAGCTAAACTGCACTTAAACCAATGGGGATGTTTATTGGGAGGTGCCTTTGACATCACACCTGGGGAAGGAAAGGGTAGAGCTAGCCTGGAAACCCTAGGGCCATGGAGGCCACTGCAGGCCCTAATGGAGTTTGAAAACCCACAACAATGGACTCTGATGGCCCCCGACAGGGCTTCCATCCTGAGTCTAGTCAGCCATTCTGGGCAGTCAGGCTTATGTGAGGATGTGGCAGAGAAGGGCAGAATTTTTGGGAAAGGTGGAAGTCTTGAGGTATTTTCTATGGTGGTGATAAGAATGAGGGCATCTGAGCTGGGACACAGTTGAGGGTGTGGCTTTATGGAAATAGGGTTATTTGGGGGCTCTATAGCTGAACGAAGTGGCCCTTAGCCCTCCTCCTCTGGGAATCCCCAGAGCCATCAGCAGCTGGGCCCATTCTCTCAGGGAGCCAGGAAGCTGTTCTCCAGAAGTCTGACCAGCCCTAAAGGGAAGATCTGAGATATGAACATTATGACACCCACGCCCCCCGCCAGATTTCCCAGCAGTGAATCTTGCATCAACCAGCCCTACCATGTGCTTAGAACTTCCAGTCAGCCCACTTTGAATCTGAACAGACAGCTCAATGTCATATGGCTATGAAAAGTAAGACAAAAAAATGCATCTTGAAAGAAACAGACTCTGTGGAGAAGGAAATTTCAAAAAATAAAAATAAGACTATTTCTGGCTTCAGAGAATGAAAAAATATTATATCCTTAAAACAAGAACCAGCCATTTAAAAATTATTCAGCACAGGTATATGCAATACAGCCTTGCTCTGTCAGCTGAGCTGGCCTAGAAGCAGTGACATCTCAGTAACAGCGAGCATACCCAGAGCCCAGATCTTGTTCTGTAATGTTTTTCACCATAAAAGGAACCAGGGATCCCTGGAGAAATGGCTGATTCTAGGGCTGGGGCAGGGTATGGACAAGACAAGCCTGGAGAATAGTGTGCACACGGGGGTGTGTAAACACACACACACACACACACGGGGCTATATCAAAGAGACGAGTATATTGGAGCAACAAAGCATAGTAATGGATATGACTTAAAAAATAAATATGGTTCATACTAATATAAATAAATGAGAAAGAATAGACAAGTCTGTGCAGAAGAATTCCAAATAATTTGTGTAGATAGTCCTTTCTCAAGGAAGTGAAACATAACACCCTACCATTTAAGTGTGGGCCAAGCTTAAGGACTTCCTTCCAAAGAGTACAATATGGAGAAAGAAGAAAATAGAGGACCTTTACAGCAGAGAAACCTGGCTCACACCTTCTCAGCCAGGTGGTCAAGGCCACACACCAGTGATAAGATGTGGTTAATATTGCACCCATGATATGAAGGGATGAGAAGGGCACTTTCTTCTGTGATCTTCCTCCCCAAAAGCCATAACCCCAGTCTAGCCATGAGAAAAGCATTAACAAACCCAATTGAAGGACAGTCTACAAAGCACCCACCAGTAGTCTTCAAAGCTGTCAAGGTCATTAAAGACCAAGTCTGGGAAACTCTCACAGCCAAGAGGAAACTAGAGACATTAATGTATCTCAGAACAGAAAAAGGCCATTAGATAAGAACTGAGGGAATACAGGAAAAGTACAGACTTTAGGTAATTAAAAAAAATATATTCAATAGAGCAAAAAAAAAAAAAAAACCCTTAAAAATTAAATCATGTTGGAGCCAATGAAAAATCTTAGTAGCAGGTTTGGAGATAAAAATTGAAGAAATCTCAATTAGGGCAAAAAGACAATGAATGAACAATAGAACTAAGATAAGAAATTAGAGGCCAGTCTAGCAGCTTCACACTTGGAATAATAGACACTCCAGAGACAACAGAGAAACAGAGAAATCCACAACAAAGTAATTCAAGAAAATTTCCTAGATCTGAAGGGCACAAGTTACCAAACTAAATCCACTCTAAATGAAAAGTGACTCTAGGCAACTTGTGGTACTTCAGAACACAGGAAACAAGGACACAAAAAGGTCACCTACAAAGACAGACTTTGGACTCTAAATACTAACACTGGGAACAAGACAATGAAGCAATAAAAATTAAAATTCTGCAGGCACACTTTTTTATGAGATCGAATTCTATGTTTAGCTAAACTGTCCAGTATAAATTAAAATAATTTCCACACTTGCAAATTCTCAAAAAACTTGTCTTCTGCTATGGCCTGAATGTTTGTGTATTCCCACGTTCATATGTTGCAATCCTAACCCACACCCCATGTGATTATTAGGAGGTGGGACCTTTGGGAGGTGATGAGGTTGTGAGGGTGAAGCCCTTATGATTGGGATTAGTACCCTTATCAAAGAGGCCCCAGAAGGCTTCCTTGCCCCTTCTGCCATGTGAGGACACAGCAAAAAGGCTGCTCTGTACAAACCAGTAAACGGGCCCTCGCCAAGAAGACTCCCTATCTGCCAGTGCCTTGATCTTGGACTTTGGAGTCTTGAGAACTGTGAGAAATAAGTGTCTGATTTTTATAAGGCACCAGGGCTGTTAGAGCAGCCTGAACTAAGCTGTCAAACACCTTTTCTCAAGAAGAATGTGCTTTACTGGAACAATAAAGGAAACTCAGAAGAAGGAAGACAGATACAGAAAGCAGGAGCCTAACACAGAAGACCTGGCCTGGGAGGCCCATGGAGGATGGTGAGAAGTGATTCTGGGGTGTCGGCTCTGCACCAGATGTGGAGGGTAACTGAGCCATACTGGGCAGTGCAGCCCATGGGGTGACCTGTCTTCACCAAGACCCCATTTCCATCAGGCCATCTTTAGCCTGAGGACAGAATGCTCAGGAGAGCCAGGTCTAGGTTCTCAGCAGTACTTGGCTTGGCCATGTGCTGATAAGGGGCTCTCCCCTCCTCTGCTGAGGATGCTCATCACTCACAGAAGTTTCCAACTTTCCCCCCACTGAGAGCTGGAGGCAGGCCATGATGAGCTTGGAAGCAGGAAGTACAGGGCAGCCCCCTCCCTCTGACTCTATTTCTGCTGCAGGTCCAGCACCTGGTCCCACCTTGGCCCTGCCAGGTGCCTGACGGTGCTGAGCCCTGTGTTTCTCGAGACTTCCTTGAGACTTTGCTCATGACTTCCCCAGGAGGGGCCTTGACAGCTCCCAGAGGAGCAGGAGTCAGACCATGCCCTGGGGACTGATCCGCCCACCTCCTAGAACCTCCGTCCAGTGGAGGCAGGACCACCCTCTCCTTGCTCAGCCAGCATGCAGTTGCCCTCCACTTTCAAACTAGATAGGGTTTTGGGGATAGATACACAGGTGGAACTATAAAAAAGAAGCAAGCAAGGGAACAAATAGCACAAAAGTCAGAATGGCTATCACCTCTTGGGCATAAGGATGAAATATACTTTCTAGATCTTGTCCAGAGAAAAACGTTCTGGCTAGTTTGTAATCTCCTAATCTTGGAAGTTGTATTGCTCATGGATTGATCAGAAGGACAGAAACCATTCTAGGCATTCCCCTGAGACTGACCCAGGGCCGGGAGGACAGAAGTCAGGAAAAGCCCTGAAGTGCCTGGTTCCTGCCAGCTCTCCAGAGTTGGGATTTTGGAGGAGCCACAGGAAAACTCTGTTCATGGTCACCGCTGCCTGGGTTGCTGAGGTGGGTGCATTTTGGGGAGCACCCAAGGGCCATAGCAGAACCCCCTGTCTGCTAAAGCCTGTTTCTATCTGCTTCTGCCAGAGAGAAATACAAAATATGATTTCTGCCATTCAACTATCTTCCAAGTCTCCCATGAGTGCCTCTTACCGATAGATAACCTGGAAATGTAGTTCCCAGGCTTCCAGACCCTGTGATAACAGGGGAGGGCATAGGAGGGGATGAAAATTTGTTGAGTAGCCCATAGGTAATCTTGAACAGGGTTTAATGAGGTACTAGTGCTACACACATCAATTGTCATGAAGACATCATTCAGGGTGTGTGTGATAGCACTTATGTAGGGAAACTAAATTCCGACTTCACAAAACTTCAGAACTCTCTCTGGCTTTCAATCTTCCTGCCAGATTGTATTAATAAAACCAAGAACTATAATAGGTTTATTGAAAAAAAAAATAAAAATTTGAGAGTTTTACCCCTCTATGCTGTCTACAGGCTCTGGCCAACCCCCTCCAGGTTTAGTGGCCCCTCTACTGAGTCCCAAATCTCCTGCATTTGTTGTATCCTAGAAAACAGCCCTCATTTTCCTACTAGAAACCCACAGGTCTCAGGTGTGGAAGAGGCCAATGGCTACCAACAAACAGAGCTGCCTCTCCAAACACTGCTGAGCTCCTGCACAGTCCTCAAAATCCAGAGTACACAGAATGAGGGTAACAAAATGCAAACACACAAGACAAAAAAAATTGGTATGTTATTTATTGTCCTAACATTGCATAGTACTTTGATTGTGCACGCTTTTAAACAGAGAGCAGAGTTGCCCACTTGAAACTACTCTCTTGCATGGGATATTTCAAGCTGTTTTACTATGGGCAAGAAGCAGGGACCAAAATGCTGCCTGGGCTTAAAAAGAGCCATGATCAGATTAAACAGAAGTTGGAGAGTTGGAGAGATTTGGGCTACACACGAGAAGAAAATGTTGGAGGAGGCTGAGATTTCAACTGGACTTATAAGAGGCATAGGTGGATGGCTGGAGGGGCTTCATGGATGTCAGGGAACAGGATTCAGGGGCAGCCTAGAGAGGAAAGTAAAGGAGAGACAAGTCCAGAGGGCCAATGCCTTGTGCTCAAATCTGAGATGAATGCCACCTGCCAGGAGCAAGACTGGAGACAGCGCATGGGTAGCTGGGATGAACAGTTTGGCCATTACCATGGCTACAGAAAGCCACATACTAGAAAAATAACTTAAAAGCTATACAATCATCATTATAAATATTTTGTGTTTTAAAACTAACTCTAGTGTTGGTTATAAAAGGTTCACAGTTACTCTGAAGAGAGCTGTATCTCTATTGCACGATAGTGGAGAAGTCTGCTCTGATCCCCATGTGTAAACAATGATTCTCTTCTCCTCTGGCGACTTCAGGACACAGAAACAGTATCTGCTGTAAGCAAAAGCACTTGGGTAGAAGGCACGTGGAAACTGTCAAACTCTACAGGAACACGCAGAACATGTTGGATGCCCACTTCTCTTCCCATGTAGCATCACTGCTGTTGGGACAGGTCTGGAATCAGATTAAAGGTGGTGATGGTCTTGTGACTGTCTCATCCTTATTCCACAGTTACAGACTTGGCCAGATTTCTGGGAAAGTCAACCTAAAATGTAAGAAAGTAGGTGTTTAGGACCCCACAGATCTCAGCAACATGCTACATCACAAGGACAATTTTCGGAGTACTTGAAAATAAGGAGACAGATGTTCCCCATGGTAACCTCCAACCAATCTGGAGACCTACTTCCTTAGTCCAGAAGCTTCATTTAACTGTGTAAGGTTTAGTCCCCCAATAAACATTTATCGTGCACCTGATGTCTGTCATGATTTGTTAACATGATTTTAAAAATATGGCTTATGCTTTTAAACACATGTAACTTGATGTGTACTATTAAAAATTCACTTTTCTTGTAAGAATTTACATGAATTCCATTGTGACTTGTTTAGGGTGGAGTGGGAAGGAAATGTGGGAATGGTGCATAGATAGGCTTCTACTGTATCTGCAAGGTCTTATTACATTTAGATATTTAAAAAGATGAAACATGACAACATATTAGCAAATATCAGCTCTGGATGATATGTACATATTCAGATATTCATTATATTCCTTGTATTGTTGTGTTCTTTTAAAAGCTTCTCAAAGTTGTAATGAAACTTCTATTTCTTTGCATTATGAACTGTGTGTTCTTACACACTTGCTGTGAGATCATAAATTGGTTCTTTGCCAGGCGCAGTGGCTCATACCTGTAATCCCAGCACTTCGGGAGGCTGAGGCCAGCAGATCATGAGGACAAAAGATTGAAACCATCCTGATCAACATGGTGAAACCCAGTCTCTATTAAAAATACAAAAATTAGCTGGGTGTGGTGGTGCTCGCCTGTAGTCCCAGCTACTTGGGAGGCTGAAGCAGGAGAGTCGCTTGAACCTGGGAGACAGATGTTGCAATGAGCCGAGATTGTGCCACTGCACTCCAGCCTGGCAACAGAACGAAACTGTCTCAAAAAAAAAAATTCGTTCTTTTCTGGAACATAATTTGGCAATACATGTTAGGAGTCCAAAATGTTAGATCATTTGTTAGACTAAGGACAAATCTTAAATGTGGGGCGACATTGTAACAATGTCGTATGTACAAAGATGTTTGCTGCTGTGTTATTTATGAAGACAAAAAATTGAGAACAGTTTAAATAGTAGAAGATTGGCTAAGTAACCATTAAGAAAATCATGTTATAAGATTGTGATGGAATATTATGCAAAAATTTTTTTGTAGAGATGGGGTCTTGCTATGTTGCCCAGATTGGTCTCAAACTCCTGGCCTCAAGCAATGCTTCCATCTTGATCTCCCAAAGTGCTAGGATTACAGGCTTGAGCCACATCACCTAGCCAGGTTGTAATTTAATGTCATAATCTTCTCCATACATTTTGCAGTTTCCAGCTTGTTTTTTTGGAGGGGGCAGGGGTGGTTTAAGCTACTTTAAATGAAATTATTTCTCCTGTGACTATTTACTCCCAAGTATTTAAAGAACACAAAGGAAATTTGGGGTTATGTCTCTCCCCTCTGCTGGTAGGTGCAGTTTTTAGACATACGTCATATCCTCGGAGAACAGCCAGGTGGAAGGACAGAAGCTGCAGTGGAATCACGCTCAGGATGCCCTGAAGGCAGTCCACAGTGTGGGGCAGCTCAATCATCTTATATGCAAACTTGGAACTTTCAGTATCGTCCTTGGAGCACAATATAATGGGGCGACCCTAGAGTAGAGAAATAGGATCATAAAATAGATCATCTCTGAAAGACGCAATCCCTGATGCACGCGGCATATCTGGAAGCTACATTACTGTGATGAGAACAGTCCTCTTTTGTATTTGCTGGATCATAGGTGAGGTGGTATGTGTGGGACACAAATGCTTGGAAAGGACAAAGTGTCTGATGCTTTTTGGTGTGTTTCTGCCCTTTCCCTGGTAAGGACATCGCCAACCTGCATCATTTGGCACCCATTTGTACCTTGCCGAGAGTAGGGCAGACTCACTCCTCACTCTAGTGGGGCTCATAGTCTAGTGGTGGAAAACAAAAACCTAGACAAGCAAACCAATAAATAAAGATGAATTCCAAAGAAATGCCACCAAGGCAAGAAAACAGGATAATCACATACTGTGATTGAGAGACTGGTGAGGTCTCCAAAGCTCTCTCAAAACAAGAGTCATCTGAATTGAGCCCTACATGATGAGGGGCCAACTCAGCAAAGCATTCTGTGGGAAGGGCATCCCAGACAGCAGGAACAGCCAGCGCAAAGGCCTGGAGGCAGGCTTGAGCACAGCACGAGCGGGAAACAAAGAAAGCTTGAGTGCCTGGAACTCTGAAACGAGGAAAGGGCCAGATGACGCAGGCCTGTGGGCCTCTGTGGCTTGACACAGGCCTGTGGGAGGGTTTTCAGTGAGGAAATAATGCAACTGTGATTTATACCCTCAGTCTGACCACGGTACTGAGCTAGGTGTGGCAGCATCTGGATGGGGCACCTTGTTGGATTTCAACCTTCCTGAAACTTCATGAACACTGCCCTCCCACCTCAGGGCGGCTGCTGTGTACAAAGCATCTGGTTGGTCTTTGTGGCTGGTTTCAGGGAGGGAGCTCCTAGCCTCTGGACTTTCCCATGTGATAGGCACATCTTTGTTATCTATGAAGGATCCCTTGGACTATACCTGACTTTATGCTCAGGAGGTACTCATGTTGTGTCTGCATAGTTCCAGGATGGGGTCTCACTCTGCCAGAAAGGCCAGCCACATGATTAGAGGGTTACAGCTTTGAGACACGAGCCAGTCAGCCTGACCTCCCAACCTCCAAGGACAAAAGTGGGGCTGGTCACTGAATTCAATCATATGGCCAGTGGTTCATTCCATCCTGCCACTTAATAAAACCTCAATACAAACTCTGGACACTGAAGCTAGCAGCTCACGGGAACTTCCTGGTGATACACAGTGATGTGCAGGAGAGTGACACATCCGAAGGACACAAGCTTCACATTTGGGGCCCTCACACTATGGGTTCCTTTTTCTGGGTTGGCTGTGATTTTTGTCTTTTATAATAAAACTGTAATAGTATAGTGATTTCCTGAGTTTTATGAGTTGTTCTAGAAAATTACTGAACTTGAGGGAAGAGTGGGAATCCTTCAATTCATAGTCAGTTGCTCAGATGTGTGGGTGGACCCATGGCTTGCAGCAGGTGCCTGAAGCGAGGGCAGTCTTGTGTAAAGCTGTGCCCCTGCCCTGTGAGATCTGACCTAACTCCAGGTAGTTCACATCACAGCTGCTTGGCCACAGAACCTGGGGAAACCCTGCCCCAGGGATCTCCACCAGGAGTACCTCCCCTGAGCTCCAGGCTAGGATCTGGCACTGCTCATGGCAGTTTGGGTTCCTGGGCCCCGCCAAAGAGCCGTGTGGGACAGCTGCAGGCTGACCAATTCCTTTCCAAGTGCATGTACCCCTCACAAGGGGGCCCAGGGGAGAGTGTGTGGTCACAGCTACTCACTGGCCAGACCATCTATCCATCGCTGGTACTGGCAGACAGTGGTGAGGTGGGCATGCATAGAGAAAAGGAGGAGAGAGATGGCCCAGTCCAATAGAGAGTCCTCACCTGGCGGGCCGTGACCTGCTGCAGGGCATTCTGGCATTTGGCAAAGCAAGGATCCTTCATGATGACCATGATGACGGGCATCTGCTTGTCAATCAGTGCCAGGGGCCCGTGCTTCAGCTCCCCAGCCAGGATGCCTTCTGAGTGCATGTAGGTTATCTCTTTAATTTTCTGGGAAAACAGGAGGTGAGATCAGAGTCACACTAGGCAGGTGGGGCTGGAGCAGATGAGCAGGAGGGGAAGAAGGGGAACCAGGAGAAGGATGATTCTGGAAGGCAGAGAGCCAAGGGTCACAAGGCAGACAGATGCCTGGAGTGGTTGACAGCACTGAGGACACCAGCAAGGGCCTGGGGAGAGGCCTGGCTACTGTCCAGGGCATGCACCAGCCCAGGACACAAAGTCTGTGTCCCCACACCAGCCCTGGGCACTGCTGCTCTCTCTCTCGTCCCACGCACAGCCACCCCTTAGGACAGATAAGTCGGAGTCAGCCTAGCTTGCCCTCTTCTCCCTAGCCAGCCACATTTATGATGACAGCATTGTTTTCTGCTTAGCTATACCTTCAGTTAATTATTTAAGCATTCGCCCATTAATAACTTCTGAAGGGTAGTTCCAAGCAAAATTGCACAAACTGGGATGTTAATTGAATTTTTTCCTATGTTTTCACTGAGGGAGGTCAGGTAGACCCATCTCTATTCAGTTACCACAAATTCACATCATTGAAATGGTGAGACGGTCAAAGAAATCATCTCTTGACTCTCCTAACACTGGTGATCTGGGTCAGGGCAACACTATGAGGAGAGTGGCTCCACTCTGGAGGCTGTAGACAGCTGGAGTGCTGGCATCCCAGTGACCACAGAGGGCCGTTGGCTCGTGCCAGCAGCCACCTAAACACTTTTTTCTTCTCCAGCCTCATGTGGTGGCTCAGTTGAATGTGCATCTTTCGCCAGCACATTCAGCTACCGCAGCTGAGCCCCCCACCCATCAGGCAGAGTCATCTGGGGGCTCACAGTGCACCCCCAGGCCTTGCCTCTACTGCATCCCCAGAAGCAGCACCTACCTGTCCTTGGCTTCCTTTAACAGGAGTCAGAACCTCCAGGGGACAGATGCAGGAGTTGGAGCTCACTGAGGTCAGGCCTGTGCTCCCCACCAAGACTAGGGAAACCAACTCTGCTTCTGGTAACCAGTTGCAACTGGCATTGTCTTTTTCTTTTCTTTTTTTTTTTTGAGATGGGAGTCTCGCTCTGCTGCCCAGTCTGGAGTGTAATGGTGCCATCTTGGTTCACTGCAACCTCCTCCTCATAGGTTCAAGTGATTCTCCTGCCTCAGCCTCCCAACTAGCTGGGATTACAGGCATGCACCACCATGCCTGGCTAATTTTTGTATTTTTAGTAGAAATGGGCTATCACCATGTTGTCCAGACTGGTCTTGAACTCCTAACCTCAAGCGATCCGACTGCCTTGGCCTCCCAAAGTGCTTGGATTACAGGTGCAGGCTACTGCACCAGCCTAGCATTATCTTTCAAATGGGGGTAGTGGACAGGAGATGGGAGAGGATGGCAGCCCAACTGGGCCACAGTTAATGCCCTGGTCTTGGTGGCCAGTGTGGCCTTACCTGGAGCACTGTCCCTGTTACCTGGGCTGAGCATGTGCTCCATGCATGGCACGCTGACAGTGGGGAGAGGGCAAGCCCTAGACACAGGTCCCTGCATGGCTCTCTGTCCCTGCACCATCAGCTTTCTCTTTGCTGGTGTGGATCTTTATTACTGCAGGGGGCACACGGCCTTTCACCAATTTTTGAAAATGCAGGGCCTTCAAAGTTCATTCCTTCAGGATCTCAGACTCCCCTTGGAAGTCTGAGGGGTAACAAGGAAAACTCTGCGGAGAACCTACCCTGCAATTTTGGTGGTGGTGGAAAAAAGCAAAGGCCACATGGACTCGGGTCCCCAAGGACTCAGGTCTGATTTGGGTCCTCTATGTCATCTTGAGTGAGATACTTAAGCTTTTGGAGGCTTTGTTTCCTCCTGGATGAGAGGTGAATAGCATCTGCCAACCTCTCAGAAGAAGCTCATGAGGTCTGAGTGAGCTGTTCCAAGTGGACCCTGGCAGTGGCTGGACAGCTAGAGGGGCACACCCTAGGTGACCCGTCCCTTTCTCTTCAGTAGATTGGGAGCTCCCTGGGAGTGTGCAACTGCCATGTCACCCATCTCTGTGTGCCCAGGGCTAGAAATCTGGTGGAGAGCTGGTACTTAGGGCAGGCTCACAGGGGTGGCCAAGGGGTCCTTAGGCCTGGCTCTCCCCAAGCCCAATGCCCTGCCCTCCTTCCCGCTGGTTCCTCCAGGTCTCCTGTGCCTGTCCTCCGTGGAGGTGAGGGCTGGGTGTGGCGGCTCACCAGGGCTCCTTCCAGGCAGGTGGCATAGTTGTAGCCCCGCCCCATCACCAGCAGTGACCTCTGCGTGTAGAGCTCCAGGGCTAAGTCATGGATCTTCTCATCCAGTGACAGCACTTCCTTGATCAGCTCTGAGCCATGTACAGAGGAGAAGGAGAAAGCCCGTCATTTCAATTTTAAAGCAGTATTCATGAAGACAAATGCTGGGGTTTAAGAGGAGGTTTTGAAACTCGCATCACTTAGTACACGTTGCTTCTTTGCATTCGTTTAAAACATAGATTATAGGAAATAATGTGGGCTCCTGGCCAGGACTTTGTTAGGGTGGGGATTCATATTGCGTGAATACTTTTTTTGAGCACCAAGAAGGTAAGTGGGGAAGCATCACTTCTCACTCCATTTTGCAGGCAAGGCAACTGAGACTCAGAGAGGTGAAAGCACCCTCTGAAGACGGAGCTGACATCACCAGTTAGCACCCCTTTCCTGCTGTGTCTCAAGACAAGGCCCCTGTTAAGTGGGACCGCCAGTTCTCAAATTGTTTGGTCTCAGGACTCCTTTATGCTTTTGAAAATTATTGCAAATCCCTCAAATTATTGCACATCCCTAAAAGCCTTTGTTTTTGAGTTAAATCTGTCAACATTTACCAGATCAGAAAATAACACTGAGAAATTTAAAAATATTAATTCACTTTAAAATAACAACACTAAATCTATTACATATTACTACATTTTCAAAAAGAATTAGAAGAGTGGCACTGTTTTTTGTTCTTGCAAATCTTTTTATGTCTGCCTTTTTTTTTTTTTTGAGACAAAGTCTCACTCTGTCGACCAGGCTGGAGTGCAGTGGCATGATCTCAGCTCACTGAAACCTCCTTCTCCCAGTTTCAGGTGATTCTCCTGCCTCAGCCTCCTGAGTAGCTGGGACAGGTGCGCGCCACCATGCCTGGCTAATTTTTGTATTTTTAGTGGAGATGGGGGTTTCACCATGTTAGCCAGGATGGTCTCAATCTCCTGACCTCATGATCCACCTGCCTCAGCCTCCCAAAGTGCTGGGGTTACAGGTGTGAGCCACTGTGCCTGGCCATCAAGGCCACTCTTAAGCAAAACTGGGTGTGTGGTAGTGAAGGACACAATGACCAGTAGGCCTTCTAATGTGCTGGGAGCCAGGCACAGCCACCACTGCCTTTGCAAATGTAGACACAGGCAAAAAAAAAAAAAAAAAAATACTATAAAAATGTATTACTATGTGAACAGTTTTGCTGAAAAGGGCCTTGTAGACACCCAGGACCTGCAGACCACATCTTGAGAATCACTGACTTAGACGTCAGAATTGGGTCCTGTTTTGCATAATTATGTCCTGGCTTAAAGGAAGAATGCCTTTTCTCAGAAATAAACCTACAGCATGCTGTCCTGGCCAGTGTCAGAGGGCCTGGAATTGACCACTCTCTATGGTGGCCTTTCCCCCACTGCCTGCTCTGAGGTTTGGCCCTGATTCCCAGGGAGGCGCTAGCTCCCACTGTCTCTGGGAGAGCATCCCCCAGAAGCCCCGTGATGCCTTGCCCCCCCGTGAGCGCTCCATGCCAGCCTAAAGCAAGGCTGGCTCATCTCCCCCTCTCAGAGCTGCACACAGAAGTCTCTCTCCTACTCTGGCATGCGAGTGGCTGAAAGAGGTGAGCCGCTGCTTATCTTGGCAGGCCAGGGATGGCATACGGGGCAGGGCATGGTGCTGGTTCTTAATATATACGTGGTGGATGAATGAAAGAAGGGGAGGCCATGGTCCCCAAGGAGGTCATGATTCAGTGTGACAGACATTGTATCTCACCAGCTACAATAGCTGGGACTGTGCTGCTGCCTAGCAAATGGGGAAAGTGTGGTGGGGCTGCCAAGAAGTGCCTGGCATAGGAAGGGCCTGGGGCCAGCCATTTGGTCTTTCTTGGGTACTTATTGAGCACCTACTGTATGCCTGTCCTGTGCTGGACACCAGCTGTCCAGTGGCGGCTCTGGTAGACATGGCTGTGTACTTGCCGAGCTGACACGTTAGCTGACACGTTAGCTCACACAGTCACTAGGTGAACAGGCAATTTCAGGTCATGAGGGGTGTTATAAAGAAAACAAACAAGCTAAGGTTTCACAGAGTGCTGGGGCGGAGACTGGGGCCTCTGTCAAGTGTGGCCAGGGAGGGTCTTAGGAGGTGACATTATTGCTGAGCTTTGGGAGATGAGAAGCTGTCGGTTTTATGCAGAGCTGAAGGGAGATGGTTTAGCAGAGGAAAGAGCCAGTGTGAAGGCCATGCAGTGGGAAAGTGCTCGGCACCGGCACCGCTGAGGTCTAGAAGGTCAGGGAGGCAGCCCAGGGTGGGGCAGGGCTGAGCAGGATGAGGTCAGAGGCAGCAGAGGCTCTAGGAGGGAGGCGGGGTGGCTAGAAAGTTTTAGGAAAAGGGAGTAATGAACAACATCCTGTACAGGCCAGAGTCAAGGGAGAGTGGCCGGCAACAGTCCACTAGACCTGAGAACATGGACAGCTGAATTCTGGAACATACCAGGTAAAGATCTCAAGCCACGGATGATCTCTTGCCTCCTGTTTTGTAGTGAAATTCGGTCTTCAGACATCATCAAACCAAACATCACCAGAGAGATGAACTGACTGGTATAAGCCTGTGCACAAAGAAGGAGGTGGCAAGGACCTTACTTTCACTTTTTATTTCAACTTTGCTTTATTTTATTTTTTGAGATACGGTCTACTCTGTTGCCCAGGCTGGAATGCACTATTAAGACCATGGCTTACTGCAGCCTCAACCTCCTGGGCTCAAGTAATTCTCCCACCTCAATCTCCCGAGTAACTGGGACTACAGGCACCACCTGTAGTGTGTATTACCTGCCACGTTAATTTTTAAGTTTTATTTATTTATATTTTTATTTTGTTTTTGAGACAGAGTCTCATTGTCGCCTAGGCTGCATTGCAGTGGCACGATCTTAGCTCACTGCAATTTCCACCTCCCAGGTTCATGCAATTCTCCTGCCTCAGCCTCCCAAGTAGCTGGAATTACAGGCATGTAACACCAGACTTGGCTACTTTTTGTATTTTTAGTAGAGATCTGGTTTCGACATGCTGGTCTCAAACCCCTGATCTCAGGTGATTTGCCTGCCCCTTTGGCCACCCAAAGGGCTGGGATTATAGGTGTGAGCCACCGCACCCAGACTGTTTTATTTTTGAAGGGACGAGTTGCCCAGGGTGGTCTGGAACTCCTGGGCTCAAGGGATGCTCCCACCTCGGCCTCCCACAGTGCTAGGATTCCAGGTGGGAGCCCTGTGCCAGGTCTAAAGGACTTTAAAATAAGCGTCTCTAAGGTGCTCAAAGATCCACAGAACAACATGGATGAAACATAAGAAAACGACATGGGAATAAAATGAGACTAAATGAAGAGATGGGAATCCAAGACGGGAGGGGAAAGGGAGGGGAGAAAAGGGGTGAAGTGGGAAGGGGAAAGAGCAGGGCGCAACTGCCCAGCGCATCCAGGCCAAAGGAGAGCGGCCTCTGGGGACCTCGCAGCCTCTGGTGCACCCGCCCTGCCACGCTCTCTCTGGGAGGGGGGCCGCTGGCTTCTCCTACCTTGGTGCTGGCCACACCGATCTCTGGCCCTGCGTTGATGTGGACGCCGCAGTCGGTCTCTCGGGAGATGGAGCTGCCCACGGTGTTGGTAACACCCACAGTCAGGGCGCGGCGGTCTTTGCAGTAGCGCAGCGCCAAGAGTGTGTCCGCGGTCTCGCCTGCCGCACAGGGGCCCTCTCAGTGCCGCACTCCGCCAGCCTAAGCCCTACCCCAAGCCCCTTCCTCCTTCACCTCTGGCTCCTTTGTGGAAATCAGTGCCCAAGACACAGCCAGCAGGTGTTCAAAAAGGCAAACACATGCTCAACAGTTTTTGTGGTTGATTCTTAGATTCAAGATTTGTCACTATTTATGTGGCAAGCGCTTTTTCATTTAAATCTCGTGACAATCCCATGGGGACCATCATCCCCATTTTCCTCTTGAGGACAAGGGCTGAGAGACAGGAGGAAATCGGTGCTCTGATCAAAGCCATACAGCTGGTGACAGGTGGGCCTGGCCCCCAGCGCCATTTTTGCAACTCAAAACTGCCTTATTCAGAATGTGCTGACATGGAACAGATTTCACATTTGAAAAGCAGGAATGTCCCCAAGTGGTGTTTCTCAAATAGATCCTGTTTGAAAGGAAACACTTCTTGCAAGCCTGTCAGTGTGGACTCAAATTGTTTTTAGAATAAAGCTAAACAACTTTATGCATAAACCAGCACAAACTCCCTCAGTTTCTCTCTCCTAACCAACTCAAATTAAATTCAGCATAAGTCAGACTATAAAATCAAAACTGTTGAAATCCTCATGAGTCAGGAGGCTGTTCTGTCTGCAGGGCCACTGCTCCTGGCTGTATCTGTCCCAGCTTTGCAGGCAGGCAGGTGCCACCTGGTACTGGCTGGCCCGTTTTCCCTTGCTTTTCTTTCTTCACAGCCCTGAGTTATGGCACTGGAGTGTCATGGGGTACTGTGGGGGAGAGGGAGTTCGATCTTTTATTACCCTCACCCTAGGATTTGATGGTGTTTTTTCAATCTTATTAAAGGGCTGACTTTTTTTTTTTTTT